ATTCCATACATTGTCACTAGAATCATTTGGATGATTCCAGCTCTGAAAATGAGTCTCTACTAAACAAAAGGTAAAAGGTAGCTGGTAACTAGAAAAATACCACTTCATGACATCATAAGGTAAGGTGGAACAGAACATTTTGAGCATTGGAGATGTGGACAGACTAATAACAAATGTGTGAATGAACAAACACAACTCTGGATATAAGGCAAAACTAATTTTATTTTATGAAAGAAATCGTCTAGAGCCCATTTAATGACAATATTAGGCAACTTAGGCAATGCGTATATCCTGTTTCCTTATTAAAATACCTGGTTTGTGTTTTGTTTCATTTTGCTTGCTTGAGTTATCCTGATTGCTTAGGTATTTCCCCTCCAGAACTCTTCTCTGTTCCATTTTTTATATCATCAGGTGGTAATAAAAGTGTTTTTGTTGTTGTTGTTGTTGTTTTAAGTCATGCACTGTCACTGAACTTGTGATCATTTTGGTGCTCATCAAAACTAAAACATAAAGTAGAGCTTGTGTCCAAATAGTTAATAATGAGTATTTTTGTAGTATGTATTGATGGCTGTGTTTATATATTTCATGTTATTTTGACTACGTCTGGTAACAACTGAAGCTCCAAGTTTCTTCCTTCCTGTATGTAGAATCTAAGAGGCCAACAGGCTTTGGTATCTTCAAAGTGTTCTTCACAATAAAGATCATTCCCTCTCTACTTGATTAGCCATCCGGTACCTTTAAACATGCACACAGCAGCCACACACCTCCAGTGAACCAAGACAGCCAGCTGCTTCCATCTGATGCCAAAACAGATCTTGAAAACTTCACAAAGCACTTTTTCCTATGGTGTTTCCTGTGCTGTGATGACAAAAAACATGGCTGAAGTCCATGGCTGAAGTCCATTCCATGCAACCAGATCTACAAATCATTGGAATCACTTTGGTATTACTTCTTATATGATATAAACTGTGTAACTGCATTTTGCAGTTTGTCACTATATATTATTTTTTCTGTTTTTGGGCAACACACTTCACCCACAGGGCCTATGTGTATTAAAGCTGTTGCCCATTTAAAAATGTAAAGTAATAGTATTTCCATGCATATTTTTATTAATAATAATACATTTTATTTATTAGGTGCCTTTCTGGACACTCAAGGTCGCCTTACAACAACATAAACAAGTGAAATACTATTAAAACATACACAAACAAAGTGGACCGGTATTTTAATAATAATTTAGGCCTTTAAAGGCTTCAAATGCAGTGATTTTGATCAAGATTTGTGCCAAATTTTGTTCAGCAGAAACTATTGAATTGCTTTTTAATTATCTAAATTATCTGTATATTTTAACCCTAACTTCCTGGTTGGTTGATTAGAAATAAAAATACTTTACTATTAGCTACAGACAGTGCACCAGTCTCATTTTGTCACAGTGTGCTGCTTTTACAATATACCCTGTGGGGAAAGATACAAAATACTCCATTGTTAATATGTCACGGTGTTTGTGTGATTAGTGGCTTTAGGTGCACATTGGTGACCATTTCTCTGCCAATTTGCCATAGGACACAAACAGTTTACTACCACAGTTCGCCTGCTATAAATTACACGAGATGAAATCCAGCCCATCTGCTTTAGGCATTAGTCAGTGTCCATGTGTATTAGAATCTGCATGCATTGTAATTATGTTTTGCTTGGCTCATTCACTCACTGTGCTTTCCAAAAACATAAACTAAAGTTTGAACTCAGCCTCTCTCAGTTAATGTTGCTTTTTTTGTTTTTGTTTACTACTTTCTAAATTTGATGTACATGCAGAAGACATCAATTATAAGTAGTAAGGTGGAATTATGTCGCAAAGAAAAAAAAGGTTAGATTACTACTAATCTACTAATTTTAAAAAATAAATTATAATTAAATCCTCAAATTACCCAAATTGCTGAAAAAGTCCTAACGTTTGACTAGTAGTGTATGATGAACGCTCAGTTTGTTGGCCTACATTCTTACATTCTTAGCAACTTTAATCTATAATTCACACTGACAGCCAAAGCTATTACCACCAGGTAACCAAACACTTTTCAAATCATAATACAGTTTTCTTTTACAACACGAAAAGAAGGAATTAGCTGTACAATAGCACCGCGCACACACGTTCTGGAGCTTTACCTGCTTTTGTATGTGGCGACTCTTCAGTGAGTGATTCATGTTGTAATCGCTTGTGAGCCGTGCTGTCGGAAATCCCCGGTGCCTCTGTATCTGCTCCCAAGAACAAATTGGCCTAATTGCTATTGTGGCTAAATACAACGTGTGGTTAGCTTTTCTATTTTCACTTCGCCGCTGCCGTGCTGATTTCGATTTCGTTTTAAATAAACATCCTCACCGTCGCTGTTTGTTCTGATGTGAGAAATTGTCAAAGTTTAAGTCAAGTGTTCTTCAAGTATTGACTGCTAAACTGTTGGAGCGGATCCGGTAACGTGTATGAGCAAGTACTGCCCTTCATTTAGGTAGCTACATGTCTGTTGCTAATAATACTTGGAGCTAACACTTGGAAATGTCACAAATTGAGTAATTAGCTTACAGATCATAATTTTTTGAAAAAAAATTTTTTTAAACCCTAACCTCAAGTATGCCTAAGTGGTTGGCTATAATATTAGGGTACTCTTCCCGCCTTGACAATCATTCCATCCTTTGATAATGTGTCCATTTAAAGCAACACTGCGTAACATTTCAGACACAAAACAAATGCATGTTTTTTAACTTTAAGCAATAAAACTTGGCTTAGCTTATTTATTATCCAAAAACTTTATGCAATTTGTTCACAATAATGTATGCTACGAATGGGCGATGCTATGGTGATATATATATAGGCCTATGAGCAGTTTTGCCGCAGACTGTAGCTAATGTCCTCTTTTAAACAGTTCACTTTTACGCACAGACTGTATGAAGAAGTGGACTTAAGTTTGTGTGACCTCCCCCATAACGTTCGACTCTAGTCAAATGAAGCTCACGAGGCTTGCAGTTATACGGGCAGATTTAGAGCCAGTTCCATATTAGGAATAGGAACTGATTTATGGATAAAATAGTGAAATAAAACCACCAGGACCACGTAGAGTGGGTTAATATACAAATTTTTAGACCAAATGAACACTTTCTATTTGGAGCACGGTCACTAGAAAATTAGCCAGGCCCATTTTTTTATACATACATACATACATATATATATATATATATATATATATATATATATATGTATATATATATATATATATATATATATATATACACACACACACACACACACACACAGTCTATGCTCTTGAGTAGATATAGCCTATTGTTAAATTTAAATAGATTAAAATCATGTTTAAAATTAGATTACATGTAACTATAACTTTGTATTTCTTGATTACTTGAGTAAATGAATATTACACACCTTTGATAACAATTCCATGCAAAAATATTTTTTAATTCACTTAAGGCTGTTACCCTGCATTCTACTGAATGTCCGTAGTCAATAAATCCAAGTCAGTTCTATTGACATCAGTTGTAAATGTGTTCCATTACAACAGTTGGGAAAATCTGGATGCCCAAGAATATTTATTAGCTAGTTCCTGCTAATAAATAGTCTGTTAGCTACCTTTAGCTGCTGGTGACTCAATAGACTTTGTTCACAACGACCGAAAGTGCGGGAATGTAGAGTAAACATAACTCTAATGTTACTATAAGATCAGTTTTGCTCAGGAGTAGTTCACTAATGCTAGTCATTGTTAGCCTTTAAGTTTTTGTCTTTTTTACCTTGATAATTGTGAATAAATTCTTCATGGACAGAATATGTCCTTTGTGGACTTACATTTACCCTCCATCGCGGCACTTCGGGCCGCTGTGAAAAAAAAAAAAAAAGTCTATTATGGCTGTTAGACTATTACATGTTCTTAAAAAAACTGTCTACTGTCGAATGATTTGAAAGAAAGTGTAAATGTCACCACAAAGTTTTCAGAAGACACTTCTTCTACACATACACAACTGAACATATCAAAATGACAAAAAGACAATTCTCCCCGTTTATTATGTGTGCCGCCATTTTTGCTGTGACGTAAATCCAACCGACTCAGAGTTAGTGTTTCATAATCCCGATTTTATTGGCCGTTCCATTCCAGGTGGAGGTCGAGGTGGACGTCAGTTTTTCCAGAGTCCCAAGCACAATAGAATGGAACATTAAACACTTGGTACGGATACGGTAACAGTAGCACGTGCTAGCCCACCTTGCAAGACCTCCTGTTAGCGACATAGGCTATTTCTGGAATACAAGTATGTACACAGGCTAATAATGTCAAGGATGTTTTGAGCAGTGTATGGAGGAATGAAAGCAGCGTTTGAGGGAGGCGTGACAGTGATGGAGAGAGTAGGAGTCACGGGCAGGAGCGGAGCCGGATACAGGTGGTGGTTAGCTTGGCGCGCGACTAAATGTGGGGTTAGCGTTAGTCTGCGAGGGATCCACACTGGATTAAAACTGTCACTATCAATCACCTCGCGGCAGAAGGCGGCTTTTTCGGGTAAACGTGCTAGCTGCTCAGGCGAAGATATTATGCTGTTGCACTAAAGCTAGCTAGCGTGTACATTCCTATGCACAGAAGGCAAATTTGGACTTTTTGATAGTACAGCTTTGATTTAGGCTACATCAAAATGAAACAAACAAAAATAAAAGCATTTATTACATTAGGATCAGACTACCTACAAGTCNAAAAAGTGGAACATATATATGTTTTGTTCTTCTTCGTAACACATTTTTTGGCTGATGCAACTTATACTGTGGAGCAACTTATAGTCCAAAAACTACGGTACTACATGTCTATACAAATTTTTTTACTTGTACTTATACTTTTATAGAATTATTGAAATTAGTTGAAATGAGCAGTCTAACCCAACACTTTCTAAACTCCACAATGTCATGAATGCAACCTTTTGGACACTTTTTATAAAAAGACAAAAGAAGAAACTGGACTTACTCCTGCATTTCTTTGAGGGACACAGAGATCTTGATGTCGTGCCCAAGCACGTGCAGAGTGGCCAGGATGTCTGCCCATTGCACCATCTCACCCAGAGGACCCCCTTTGAGCACCTTGGGGCTGAAAACGTCCCCCGACTCCTCTGTCAGAAAGCCCACGTGCACCAGGATCTGAAGAACATCAAGAAAAAAAAGAATCATTAAAACTCCTATATTATCCCAAACCCTGGTGAGCTTTAAGTCATGTTATAATGTTGTTATCTCATCAAAAACAGACCTGGAATTGTGTTTCATTTCATTCACACATGTTTGAGTAACCCTTTATTATTATTAGTCTGTCTACATCTCCAAAACATTATAACACACATCAGAAAATAGAGTAATATGGGCCCTTTAAAACTTCCCTTTATACCTCACTGTATGAAGATCTATGCCATACTGTGGGACACTGAAGATACTTTGCAGTGACATCTCGCTGGGGGTGCTCTGCCTGTATGTTTATGATGGAATGTTAAGCAGGTACAGTGGGAACACAATGTACATATTTGCAAATACTGTCAAAAAAGTTTTAGGATTGTCTGAAAACTCAAGAAAAAATGGATTTAAACATCACATTTTCAGGAGCCTGTGACCATTATGAGAGTTCATGGTCCTGTTAAGGAGTTTGATTTTCAACAAAACCATGAGAATTGACAAACAGCTCACCTCTTATAGTTCCAGCTAAACCAGTTCTGTCTGGTTCTTACCTTCTCAAAAACATACCTGGAGTTGTGTTTTGTTTCACAAATGTTTGAGTAATCCTTTATTATTAACATGTCTACATCTCCAAAGCTCAAAATATTGTCTCTCTGTCTTGAAGTAGGAGTTTTCAAGTTTTCAGCTACCTTTTAACTTTTGGCGAGCCCAGGACTGAAATTATCCAGATGATTCTAGTGAAGGTGTAAGGACTTTGAAAAAAAGAAAAAGCGTAGTCTATTGGGACATGTTTGCAAATTATTTTTTAAGGTCCGATATTACACAAAACTGACTCATGTGAGCTTTTTGTCATGTTCGAATGTTCTTAATTTCTTAAAAGCATACCTTGAATTGTGGAGTTGTTTCATTCACACATGTTTGAGTAATCCTGCACGACTCGGCAGTGTACTTCTCCAAAGCTCAAAATACTCTGTTCCACATTGTGATGTCATGAAGCTGTAGTTTTCAAGTTTTCAGCTACCTTTTACCTTTTACCTTTAGTTCAGCAGAGAGTGGCCATTCTAGAATCCGTGTATCATGCGTTCATTCATTTTTCAATATAAAACCAAACATAAGAAAATGAAAAAACAACAATTTTTCTTCATTATTTGTCTCCAAAACCAAAATGAAAAAACTGGATAACGATTAGTTTTTTCAGTTTTCGATTTTGTGTTTAAATGAATAATGGAAAAAAACAGATAACGGCCGTTTACGTGACTTAAACTGCGATGCCGGACTGAACCAAGACTAAACCAGGTCTGACCAAACCAAGACTGAAACCAGGACTGAAACCGGGACCAGACCAGAACCAGGCCGTGATTCAGACCGGGACTGAGACCAGGACCAGTTGGTTTAGTCCTGGTTCAGTCCTGGTTTAGTTCGTATGGGGTGCAAAAGTCCGGCATCGCAGTTTAAGTTTTGGAAACGGCCGTTATCTGGTTGTTGTTTTTTTTTTCATTTTTCAATTAAACACAAAATCAAAAACTAAAAAAAAAAAAAATTATCATTATCCATTTTTTCATTTTAGTTTTGGAGAGACATAATGAACAAAACAGTTACTTTTTCCTGTTCTTATTTTTGGTTTTATTTCGAAAAACGAATGAACGAATGATACACAGATTAGTTATCCAAATGATTCTAGTGATGGTGTATGCAGTTTAAAAACACAGTGGAGCACTTCTTGTATTATCACATGACATCACAACGTGGAACAAAGTGTGTTTTGTTTGAGAGAAGAATTGATCCTAAATAAGCAAGATTTGTGTGTTAAACATGAATGAAACAAAACAAATCCAGGTATATTTGTGATGAGAAAACAACATCATAACACAGATCAGAAAAATGATTATGAAAAATTACTTTTTCCAATTAGACAAAAAATTGAAGAGAATTTTCATATACCGCAGTACAAACAAACCAATTAATCATCGTTTTTAATAAAAATTTTAACTCCAATTGGGCCATTAAGTGACAGCGTTATGTGATAATAAAATGGTCTGTTTTTAAACTGCTCCACTCTGTAAAAAAAAATGATTTGGTGTTTTCTAGGAGCGTTTGAATATTCGCTTTGATTAAACCAGCCTCATGTTTTGCAAGCCTCAAAGACAAAGAACAAAACTTTAAATGAAAATCCGCACAGCAAGGATCTAGTTCCAATGAAACACAATCACAAACTAAAAACAAAAACTGGAACTCAACTCAGCTGAAGGAATAATTGATATGCATAAGGGTACACCACAGCAGCTTTTTAACTGCTTACGGCCAGACTCATTTGTATGCTGTTAAACCTCTAATGAAATTAACGTTATTTGAACAGATGGCGGCGTTTATTTTTGCATTCTATTTCTCCTGGCTCCCAAACTTCAAAGATAGGTCTCCTCGCTGACCATGGACCCCTGCCAGGCATCTCTTTGATTCAGTTTGGACTTTTATTGAATCCGCCAGGGGTGAAAACATACTTCCTGTCTATCAAAATATCTCAGCGACCAGAGGCACATTTCAGTGCTCATATAATTAAAGTGGCTGTACCTGATTTTTTTTCATGTATTTAAAGTGAGGTATTAAACTTCTATTGGCTATTACTGTATTTTTCGGATCATAAATCACTCCAGAGTATAAGTTGCAGCAGCCAAAAAATGCATAATGAAGAAGAAAAAAACATATATAAGTTTCACCCACACTATAAGTCGCTCCTTTTGGGGGAAATTTATTTTATAAAATCAGGGACCAGGAACCGACATTTTATCTTGAAAGGCAAGTTATAGTAATAATAATAGAACAGAGAACAACAGGCTGAATAGGCGTTAATATGTTTACGTAACATATTAACAATTATTCAGATAACTATAGCATAAACAACAGAACATAAGTTTACCAAACTCTAGATCTCACTCTAAATCACTAAATCCACTGAATCCATAATCCTTGGTGCCACTTCTGAGCAACTCCGTTGCATCTTCGATTTTCACTGAAGTCCATGCTTTATCATTCAGTGACTTCCAGGAAAGTTGCATGGAGCACCCTCCCAGTTGCCGTGAAGCTGTGTTCTCCATCCTCGCTTTCTGCTTGTACCTCACAAGTTTCTCGCTCACTCCAAACTTTCCTTCTGTTGCTCGATTACTGTTTTCTGCTGCATATTTCACTACTTGCTGCAGGACAGTGGCTTTTTTTGCAGGAGATATGGGCAGAAAACTGATACACAAGCCTAGAGCGCCCTCTCGCAGCTGTCAGTCTGAACATTTTAATATATAAGTCGCACTGGAGAATAAGTCGCAGGAAACACCCAAACCATGAAAAAAAGTGCGAGTTATAGTTAGAAAAATACGACAACTGCTAACATATAACATTTTCATTACAGACGTGCAAAATCCTCAGAGAAAAAAAGGTCACAGTCTCCGGCAATGGTAAACAGGGGGAAATGAGAACTGCGATTAAAAATGTTTTAATTCGGAATAAAAAAATGATTCAGTTTCCTAATGATTATTCAGAATTAAATTTATTCAGAATTAAACTTAAATCCGGATTCCGTTCTGTGCCATCCTCTGCACATGGCGAAAGTGAGAATGTACTATGGACTACAGGTCCGGGCGGGTTGCTACTGTCCTCTGTGCTCGAGGACTGCAGCTGGTACTGAGGTGGTGCAAAACGTCCAGACAGAAGCGTCCCATTTGGTTGGTTATATTTTGTTCTGAACAGTCCGACCTTCGAGCATTTGGTTCTTCCCCGGGGGAAAGCGCTTCTCAGGCCAAGTCACCTAACACCACTCCCCGCTGCAGCTAATCTGAGTCTGACCTGGACCTGAGCTGCTTCCCGTTGGTTCAGGAGTCTGGGTTTGGACCCCTGTTCCCCAGTTTGTATGGGCGGATCCCCCATACCCCCCCCCCAAAAAAAAATTAATAAAAAACTACTCTCTGGTTCTATGTGATTCATGTGAATGTTGACCAAGTTGACCAAGAAAAAGGAGACTGAAGCCAAAAAGCGACAAGCTTGAGAGTCTGTCATTAGTGCTCTATCTTACTGTTTCAAAAATGCTATATCAGCTGAAAACGAAATATTAACATGTTTAAGGGTTGCTTACAGGCAAAACAACATTTATTTTTTTTAGTTTTTTGGTCACTTTGGTCTTTTTATGCTTCCACATGAAAGCATACACGCTTTCATGTGGAGACAACAAAACTGTCCACTCTGCACTGAAAGATGTTTTAATATTGAATTTTACCTGCAGCCACTGAGTTACAGTATATGGGACATTGTAACTTCAAAGGCCGTTATATCAGAACGCATTTTTCTCAGGTAGGGATATGAGGATCAGTCTTTAAAAAAACACTTTACGATCTTGTACTTAACAAGATTTTGGTGAATCATATAGAAGGATTTGTGATATCAAATTCCAACCCTGATTTATTAAAGTTTATTAGATGTACTAGGAGTATTTACACACTGATTATGACATCTCATAATGTTTGAACTTTATTCATAGGAAGATGTTCAGTAATTATTTGAAGGATAAACAACAGTTGCATAACACAATTGGATCACTTGTATTACACAAGAGATCCAATCTGTGTTTTAAAGAACAAATATTATGGGAAAGTTACATAATGCGGCGTTATGCTAAAGAGCCCATATTACACTTTTTACTTTTTTCTCATCTATGTCATTATATTGTTTCCTCAACAAAAACATACAGGGAGTTGTGTTTTGTTTCATTTACACATGTTTAACACACAAATCATGCATATTCAGGCTGAGTTCTTCTCTCAAATCAAAAAAACGAAAAAAAACAAACAAACAAACAAACTCAAAGCTCAGTGAAAAACATGTACTCATGTATAGTTGCATTGTGATTTAAATTGATCCTCTATGGAGACATATTTGCATGTAGGGGCAAAATAAGTCTTGAATGTGTGGCCAAATTGACTGCAAGTAACAGGGAT